TTTACTTCTTTTCATTAAATACACATACTACATAAACGAAAAATACTTAAATCCTCACATAAACAGATTAACTTATTTCAGTTCTAGTTAGTCAGGTGAGAATGTTGGAGATCCTGCAAGAACAAATAACGGCATGGGTGCGCCTGGGTCGTCATCCATTCTTGAGAAGTGCTTCATTTCCACTATTTTCCACCGCTGCTGTGCTATTTGCCCCATCGGGGATGTCGTTTCGCAATTTCATTGCCTGCCGCCACTGCCTTGGACGTTGTCGGTTTGTCTTCCGCGTGCTTGTTACCCAGCTTTTCAATTATGTCCCTGTAGTTCCTCTTTTCCAAAGGTGCCTTAGGTTCGCTCTACTCCTATATGCGATTAGCATACGATGGATCCAAAGCACCATACCAGTGTGACCGGCCGACTTCATCTCCCACCGACGTTTGGAACCTTACATCGCCTTCAAGATTATTAATATCAAACTACAATTGTTGTTAAATACCTTTACATGGCTATAAGGAACTATTGAAACCTTTTCTGTTGGATTCAAACTTAGCCTATTGCCTTTGCAGATTTACTTATACCTATAATTCGTCTAAAAAACGAAATTGTGAAGAGTATTATAGATGCAGTGCAGCCAAAGTAAATCTTTTTAATTATTTCTTTATGCAGCTACGACTTTAAAGTTTCCAAAGTAACAACATTGGTTTATGAATAGGTTTAGAAAATTTAATAATAACGGTACTATCTTTTTAGCGCATCAATTCCAATAGAGTGGCCATCCGAAAAAGCTTCCACACAACCTCAGCTTCTAATTAAATGAAGTCAAAATTTTAACAGTATGAGTAAACTCCTTTTAATGACCCAAATTACATCACCATGGACAAAACTGCTTGGTGCAATTCGCCAGAGTGCATATGTATGAATGTCGAACAAACTGCAAACAGGTCATTTCCATTTTCGCTACTGCCCACGCTTACCTCTACTCGCCATTTGTGGTGTATGTGGCGGCGTTATTTGCCTTCTTTGGCCAACAGTTGCCAGACGCAAGTGTTAAACCCTTGGCGGCCAATGGGCAATGTGGTTCTGGGCAGCAGCTGTTGGTTTGGGCGTGAGAAAACAGCAACATTAGTGCTGACCCTACTTCCGCCACCATCCATTTTATTATATTAAAGCGAGTGAAAATTGCACAATAATATTGCAAAGTCATGGGCAATGATTGAAATTAATGGATTTCTAAATGTTTCAACTAACCCTACGCGCTACATTTTTGGCTGCCAATATAACTCGTTCGGCGTAATATTTTGTTGTTGCACACACAGCTACTGCCTTCGGTTGGTTATATTACCACAGTCGCAGCATTGAACTTTACACTTTTCCATTTCTCGTTCTCGTTCATAGTTTTCACTAGTTTTACGTTTATTCACACCCTTGTAAAATAAGTCCAACTGCAATTTTGCTTCTCCCCCGAATTCCGTTCACCCCCGCCAAAGTGAAATGACTTTCAACACTCCTCCTCAGCAGTTTCAGCAGCTTAGTAGTTTTTCGGCACAAACCGTCGAAGCGCAAATATATATTTATGCGTGTAGTGTATGCGAGTGGTTTGTGGCTTCGTTGCATAACTGCATAGTGCGATGATTTCGGTATTAAATTTCCTTTTAATGTTATTGTAGAAAGCCATTCATGTATGGGCGTGCTACACTGCCACAGACCATTTACGATCGTTCGTGTTCGCTTGTACAGTTTTTATTTGTATTTATTTATTTTTTTTTTGTCAGCTTTTGGAATTGAGAACCTGAGAGAGAGTGGCGTGCGGTCCTACCCCCTCTAATAGTTATTGCATTTTCCGCTGGTCGATAGTCTTGGTAAATGGTGTTATGCTCTTATAGTTATTTGTTACTTAGTTATTGGCAGCGCTGTTGTTATTGTTATTGTTGCCGTTAGTATTGTACAAAGTTAATGTTATCTCGTGAGTGGTAAATAATGCATTTAGTTTACTAAATACTTAAAATGAAATTAATGATAGTGAAAACTGAACCACTTTTAACAACATTCTCACACATATACATTTATATATAAATATACTCTATATACAAAAGTAAAAGTGTGTACATCGTTGGCTTAAGCTATTAAAGCAATTTCGTAAATTTGAAATATTTTGCACATACCTTTCGCACAGTGAGTGAGCGTAATTATTTAATATAGCCCAAAAAAATAGCATACAAGTGCCGTTGAACAACTTCCATCGCATGGCTACGAGCTCAATTAATGTAATTACTAAAGCAGCACATAACTTTCAATTAAAATTTAATATAATTTAGTTCACTCAATGTGCATAAAATTGTCAACTTTTGTACTCACATCAAATCCGGCAGCTGAATAAGCGACAATGTACGAGTAAAAATAATATGCTAATAAAAGCTGCATCTGAATTGAAAATATACAGTTTTGTCACCTTAAAAACTGTCAAAATAGTGTAATTTTAATGTAGTTGTGGTTGTAGCTTACATACAACTCGAATAAATTATTAAATTTTAAATTGTTTAAACATATAAATATGAATTAATATATTGAGAAATGTAGTGTAAAATATTAAGTTTTAATGTTTCAATATCGTACTATGTATTATGTATAATAATATACATTGCGACGAAAAAGACCCAGAAAAGATATTTCAAAAAAAAAAAAAAAAAAACCTATTTCGCTAAATTGGTAGGACTGTCATTAATTAATGTGCCAAATATGAGCGCGCCTGTCAACCAGTTTGTTTACAGCAGCTGTTTGAGGTACACCTTACTATAGTATGGCGATTTTTACAATAGAATTTGTCTCAAATTTTGCATTTCTAACCGAATAAGTTGCGAAATCGTAGCGAGTACTTTATAATACTTACTTACCGTGATTCAGTTGTATCGAAAACAGCCTGCAAAGTCGGACGAGCTATCGTTAAAGACATCCTCTAGACGACCTTCGATCTCTTCAACTGAGGAAAATGCGTTCTTGCTCGACTCGTATCGATAAAGCTGAATTTTTTTCGAAAAGTGTACCGTAAACAAGTATCTTTGGATATGCTTGATCTTTGAATTCCGATCCCCCATTCATGCAAAGCATTATAACCCATAATTGGACATGGGCTTGTGGGTTTGGTATGCAAACAAGTCAAAAAAAACTAGAATGGATCGAAAAAACGAGAAAAAACTAAAAAAAAAAAAGAAAAGTCGCTGAAAAATTAAGTTGATGCTGCGTTTTATTTTGATATTTTTTTTTTTGGTGCATTATGAATTTATTCCAGAGGAACTGACGGTAAGGAATTCAATTTCTCAGTATTGAGGCGTTTTCATGAGAACGTCCGTCGAAATTGCGGACGAACAATTTATGGATTTATGGATTTTAGCACCCTGATCCATGGTTGTGAACGAACTTAAAACCAAAAATGCAAATTATATCATCGATCACCAAATCACCATTGATATTTTCTTGTACCTCAAAATGAAACTACCGCTCCGTGGAATCCGTTTTCAGTCGATCGAAGAGATAAAACAAAACTCGCGGAAGGAGTTGAAGGTCATCACAAAAAGTGTTTATGAGAAGTGTTTTCTCGACTGGAAAAATCATTGGCATAGGTTTATTGCACTGGTAGAGATTACTTAGAAAACGAAGAAATAAACATTGATGAATATTTAAATATATTTCGTTTTTTCCGTGTACTTTTCACAATATATGCTGTATAATACATGTTTGGCCTCTTTGCAGGGAATATCAATATCGCTTTGTATAATATTATGCATAACTTCGTATTTGGCATATACTATATTCACATTAACAGTTTACTAAAATAGCTGAAGTTTATTGGAGCTAAATTATAATTAGAATGATTGTTTCGTAATAATAAAGCTCTTTAAATGAATTTTGACTGCATTTGATTAAAATTTGAAGCTTTCGATTTCAGGGAGATATTTGCACCAAAAATGAATTGCAGTCTGAAATTATTTTGTCAGAGTTACACAAAAATATTCAAACTGAATTAAATCGAGTTAAATTTCGTTGAATTTCGTTGAATTGTTTCCACTGGTTCTGTTACTTTGTTCCTTTAAAGCTTTTCATTTCAAGGTATATGGTTTTCTTAAATATCTTGTAAGATTATCAAATCTTAATTAGACATTTTTTTCAAGTAAAATGTTTTTATAGCCTGCTAACTCGAATAATCCCAAATTGTTCAATTATATTTAAGAACTTTGTTTGTTGTTGTCATAACTTTTACATATTTGCTTTCAGAAATTGTACATTAGTGTATCTGTGGTAAAATTTCATCAACCATTTCCCGCAATTTTGAAATATACATTCAAAACTCCCTAAAATATTCTAACATGTTGACTGCCAATGTATCGCCGGTGATAGATGCCTAATCCAAATGTATTTTTTTGCTTTTCGCCTTGGAGTAGATTTTTGTCGTGATCATCGGTGATACACCGGCAGAAAAATGTATAAAAATAATACTCCATGTAAGTATTTTATACCCTATTAGGTACAAAATTTACAAATTAAAGAAGGAGACGTTGGAGACGTAAGATACGTCTGTCTGTATATATGTGAACTAGTCTCTCCGTTTTTGAAATTTTGACCTGAAAATATTCACACTTCCTCTTTTCCCCAAGAACGATCGAAATCAAGTGCTTGTATGAACATTTTTTTCATCTTCACGAAATTCGGTAACGGTTATTGTCTAAAGCATTAGTGCAAACGCTGAAGAAGGAATTTAACTCTTGTAAACAATATTTTGTATTTATGAAGGGTTCTATGTAGTATTTTTGTTTAATGAATTCTTGATTATGCAGATTTTTTTTAGTTGCATGGACTAGATAAATAAATTCTTCTTTTCAGTTCATTAGAAATTTTCAAATAGGGTATAAAATATTACGTAAACTTAATAAAGATGTATAACTATTACATTTCCTTTACACACCTATACAAAAAAGTAAATATGCAAATCTCTCTTTTTTTATTTGCAGTGATATTGGCAGTTAGTTGGGAAGAATGGTGGACCTATGATGGCATATCCGGTGAGTAAAAATAACTGTAAATAATAAGTTATTTAGTGGTATTTATGATTTTAGAGATTACGTAAAAGCTTAATTTATTATTTCCAATAGTCGTTACAAATTTATATAAAATACGTTTTTGCCGTAATTGAAATTCCATAGTACTAAAGTAAGCTATGTTATTAATTATGCTTGCTAATACGTTGAAATATGTAATAACTATACGTCACTTCATAAAATTGTTTAGTTATTTCGAATATATCAATTATGCTTTGGTCAAATGGCCAACATTTATTTCCCAAGGCCGCAGTTGTCGTGGCGTATGAGTAACCAATTGAATTTATAAGTACATTTTTTTTTCTGATAAGCCATTTATAGTATATTAATATTAAAAAAAATAGTATTTCATTATATAATATGCTATAAATTGCCTGCCAGAAAAAAAAAACATTTATAAATTCAATAGGGTACTCATACGCCACGACAACTGCTGCCTTGTGAAATAAATGCCAGCCATTCGCCCAAAGTTCTTACTGCTGACATTTTTATAACTGGTAATGCTTGAACTGCATTGAACTATCTACGCTAAGAGTATTTCTAATTTTTTTGCTAGCTCATGCAGTGAATTTTAAATGCATAATTTTAGTAACCACGCCTAGTTACACTTTCATTTCCACAGAGAAATAACTCTTTCGTCCATTAACGCCCTTTTTTAGTAACCCGCTTTGAACGTGAATTAAGATCAAGGCAGCCAAATTAAATTTGTCAAATAATATTTATAAGTTTCTTCAACCACGAAAATTATGAAGATGGTCAGAAAAATGAAAAAATATTGGGCACGATTAACACATAAAAGCAATCATGCAATTTCTAGCAAATTATGCGTGAAGTTTATGCAGGAAATGAAATGAAAGAAACGCATAACAGAAGCGAGCGCATTTCGGCTACATGATCTACGTGCGTGAGCATTATGTATGTGTGTGTGTATTGCTAAAGAACAGATGTGAACTGTCAGCACATGAGTGGCTATGTAGATAAACGAATAACCCGTTTCATAGAAATTTTTAAACCAAGAAAACATTACACTTTTCAACGAAGACTTTTTTGAAATTTATTTATTTTTTTTTTTTGAGTTTCATCATGAAGTTATCAATTAATATACCGCGACTTTCAATATATAAAAAAAAATCTTCCGAAGAGATTTGTTTATATATGAATATATCCAATCAAATAAATATGCGCATATACATAATGCCTTTTGTAATTTTTAAGAAAGAAGACAATATTATAAAAGTTAACTGCAGAGTGACTTTGCATTCATTATTTACACACTAGCGATTGACTCAGCCCTTCAGCGTATTTACTTTTGTTTTATAAATTGACACAAAATGAAATCACAATCCTTTACCAAGCCTTGCTCTAAAGCGATTACTAATAGCAATTGAATGAACGATTTTAAAACTCTTCCTTCAGAGCAACTGAAGTGCAACCAAACGCCTTTTGAACATGTAGACAGCGCGAAACTGATGCACTTGCAACGGAATTTATATTGGTGTGTTCAATATTTATAGGAGTGTCGTGCTCTGGCAGTTGGATTTCGGCGTACGTGACTGTAGTTAAGTTTGTGTGTGAACGTGAAAGATTTCCTGTGACTTCCGGTTCAGAAGTGATAAATATGACACTCACAAAAACGCGTTCTGTTTGCATTGATATTGCACCGTCACGCTCACTCTTCTAACGGTTTCTTTATATGTTAAATCTGTGTTCACCATATAAATTAGGGTGGTTAATTTTTTTACAAAGCTAACAGTCAAAACGAAATCGAAATAAATTCAAAACTGGTAGAACTCACTAAACTTGGCACAAATAGTGCCCTCAAGACATTTTAGTCTACACCTGAAAATTGTTAAAATAGGACTTTAACCAGACGCCAAGTATTTGAACTTCACCGCGTATGACTAACTTTTTGCCGAAAATATTGAGATATATTATTGAAATTCGTGGAAAATATTTCACTGAAATAATGTACTCTTTTGTCAGTTCAGTGTGCTAGTTTAATACAAAGTGGCAACACCAATTTATAAGTATTATGTCGACTTGCTTTTGAAAGTTGAAAGAGTGTTAAATTGTGGTCTGCATCCGAACTTAATAGTTTCTTTTTCAATGATGGATTAGAGAGTTCAGTTTATGGCTTTAAAGTTTCTAATTTAACTTTCCTGATTTCTTTGAATACTATAGAACGTAAATATCAGCATAGGCCTCATTTATTGACACAAATAATATGGGCTCACCCTAAAGTACAACTATGTAAATGCATTTATCAAATATTTCCTCCAACGCTGCACCTTTTCAGTTTTTGTTGCGCACTATAAATACAAATTGTATTTATTCAAGCTAGACAAACAAATATTTACGTTCCCAAGTGTTTCCGTCAACTCGTCTTTTGATAACAGTAAAGTTGAAAAATCGTGTTACCTGTCAGCTAAACGTCATCACATATCGCTTTGATCTGTGTTCGATATTTACAAGATAAGCTTTATCAGGCATACTGGAATGTGGTAACTGTGTCATTTGAATGTTCAAGATTTAGCTTGAGGATGGAGGCATGTGTAGAAGTTCACGTAAGTGAGGAAAGTACTCTGATTTCCATTGGAAGTAGCAGTGGTCAGAAACGATTCTTTTACATATGGCTCAAGCAGCTCATGACTTTCCGTCTTAGAAGTGGCCACTGGGTAGCCAAAGAACTTCCGTTTGAAAGCGAGCCAAAATGAGAAGACGAAACATTCCCTCCACAGGGTTGTGCGCTGGGTTTCGGACCGACCACGTAAAAAACGCCCCCAATGGAAAGGTTTAAAGAGCCTCGAATAAGAGACCTCCCTTTTCATGACGACCATGGCAAATTAATTAAGGCTTACGATTTGAGTGCACTCACCTTCATTGGAAAGTTGCCGCTACCCCACTGGTTGATGTCCTCGTTAGACTGAAGATTGACATCAACGTCGTATAAGAAATGCGATGGACGGAAATAGGACTGAAATGAGTATGTCCTTGTGGCATTTACGAGAGTGGCCATTTAAAGGAGCACAATCTCGGTGTATGATTTATGTTGAGAGAGAGCCTCCTTCGGCGAGTACTTTCATTCAAACCGGTGAATGAACGTTTAGCCACAATCCGCATCAAAGCGAAGTTCCTCAACATATCGAGCTCACGTCCCGCCGAAGAGAAGGACGCTTGTAGCGCACCTATGAAAGCTGTCCAATCCTACTATAACGTCAAAATCGTACTTGGCGACCCTAATGCCAGAGGGAACAGAGAAGGTTGTGACAAAGGCAAATTAAACTTCCATGATGAAACATTCTCAAATGGGTTGAAGCTGCTCGACTACTACGGGGATCGAAATATGATTATCTAGGTTAGTACTAGGTTTAGCATAAGAAAATTTATCAAGCTACTTGCATGTCTCGGGATCGAATCTTGTGATATACGAAAGATAAATTTTAAAAATCTAGTGTTTAAGACATGCGAACGCTCCAAACATGGCCTCTGACCACTAACTGAAGCTGCTTATGTACAGTTTGCTTTCGGAAAATGCAAAATATCAGCTATTACAATGAGGAGTGTCGCAGCGGACAGAAAACAGACTACCTACCTCACAACGTTACAATCGACCACAACATGTGCGGGATGTGATAGATACCAGGAGTTGAGGAGGGAAGCGAGACGCAAAGGAGAAATGCGTGAGTACAAAGAGCTTGACAAGCTTGCGTTACATTTAAAAATTCTAACAAAAAGGCGGCGACTAACAGAATGTTTCAAGACCGCAGGATATTCTTGTAGAGCGCCCAGGGGTGATATAGTGACCGAAGCCCAGAGCATACTGAAAGTATAGAGGGAAGACTTCTACAGCCTGCTGAATGGCCGTAAAAGCATAACGATAAAAAAATGTGAACCCGATTCCCCAATCGATGACGATGGAGCAGATGTTCCATTGCCCGGCCATGAAGAAGATCGGATAGCAATTATTAAAATGCATTACATAACGATTAACTACAGAGGTTAGAAACAATAAGAATAAGATGACATAAAAATATATGTAAACAAAAGTCGCAAACAAAAATATATGTGTATATATTTATGTATAAAATCGTAATAGCCGCGTTTAGAGGCATTTGAGCAACGCAATGCCGTCATTTTGGTTTTCGGCTTGTCTTTTTACTCATAGGAATTCCGATACTCTCGCACAAACTTTTTGAGAAGACACCAAACGCCATAACGACCCGTTCGCAACTTTGCGGCCATTCAAGAGATATAACTACTTTTGATATTGCACATCACACCTAGTCACACCCCCGCTACAATGCTCCGTGACTTGTCACCTTCGTTTGATGTTGTTTGCTGCCTCTAGTAGCAAAGTTCTAAGTGCTAAATTCCTCTGCTTCGAATTGCCACACCTGAGGCGTATGTACCGTCGCGTGTGGCAGTACGTGTGAGTGATACTCTCACTGGCATTATTCTTTTTATACCTGTTAGCACTATATTTCTTCGTTTGCTGCTTCACATTTTCTTTCTCAAAAAGTATCCTTTGCAATTTTCTGCTGTGCTGGCATTTACTGTTATCACTATAGCTTGCACCATGGCACCTGCGTTGCGTTTGCTCAACTCGTATCATCGATTCAAACAATCGCATCTCCCTTCCTTGCTGATTCTTATTCAATGCTTCTCCCTCGATAACGGAATAGGTAAGCGTAGTGCTGTTGTTGTTGCAAACAGAACAGATTTTCCTTTTCAAATGTAAAAACTTGAATTATGTTGTAAGACTATTATGTTGTGCCTCTTTCTTACTAGTTCTTCATGATAATAAAATATTTATCGTCTGGTTTTTGCAAATTCTCATAAATACTCATAAGAATATAAAAAATATTTCAAAACTCTTATACTAAGCAGCTTAATATGTATTTCACGAGAGATTCGATTAAAAGGAGACACCCATTCGCAAAATTTCTAAATGTGGTTACCCCATG